AAAACTACGCCTGCTCCAGCCCCGTCTAATAGTGCTGCCCCATCGAAAAACATCATTCATGGAGGGAGGATGTCCACAAGAAAGACTTCTTCATCAGGAAAATCTTTAGAAATTTTCTAATCAGCTGGAATAAGATGGTCAGCTAAGAAATCTGCTAGGACTTGTCTTTTCACTACCTTTTGTGGCACATAAATAATTTCAAACTCATTGAATAAAATTGACCACCTCACCAAGCATCCGAAAAGGGCTAGACATGACATATTTGAGAGGATTAGTTCTTACAATAAGATGTATTATATAAGCCAAGAAATAATGCCTCAATTTGTTAGAGGCGAAGACAAACGCGAGACATGTTTTTTCAATTGGAGGATAATTTCGCTCCGTCGGGGTGAGCCTGCGACTTAAGTAATACAAGGCTTTCTCTTTATGTTCTTTATTATTTTGAGTAAGTAGGGCACCCAGTGATTCTTCTTGCGCAGCAATGTAAAGTATGAGTGGTTTTCCAAGTATAGGTGCTCCTAATACCAGAGAATTGAGAAAATACTTTTTGATCCTATCAAAAGCATTTTGGAAAGATTGGTCCCAGTTGAATGGGGCATCTTTCTTTATGAGTCAGTTAAAAGGCTGACAACGACCAACCAAATTTGAGATGAACTGATGAATGAATGCAAGTTGACCTTATAAACTTCGAAGCTTGCGTAAATTCTTTGGTGGCGGCATCTTTTGAATAGCCTCAACTTTATTATGATTAATCTCAATACCACGATGATGTACAACGTATCCTAGGAATTTCCCTAAAGTCACACCAAATGCACATTTAAGAGGATTCATCTTGAGTTGAAATTTTATGAAGCGATTAAAAACTGTACGTAAATCCTATAAATGATTTCTTCGCTCTTTTGTCTTAACCACCAAGTCATCAACATAACATTCAACAATCTTGTGGAGTATATCATCAAAGATCCTTTGCATGGCGCGTTGGTATGTTGCTCCCGCATTCTTAAGTCCGAAAGGCATAACTTTGTAGCAATATATGCCTTTAGGAGTGCGAAAGGTAGTTAACTCCTCATCCTTCGAAGTCATTCTTATCTGATTGTACCTGGAGCAACAATCCATGAAGGAGAGAGCTTCCCCGTGGTTGCATCTACAGTGAGCTTGGGGATGGAAAGAGGAAAATCATCTTTTGGGCATACCTTATTCAAATCACGAAAGTCTACACAGATTCTAATCTGTCCATTTTTCTTCTTCACTGGAACAATGCTCGAAATCCATGTTGGATATTTGACCTCACGAATAAACCCTACCTCAATCAATTTGTTGAGTTCTTCCTCTATCCTCGAAATTAGCTCTGGACGGAAGAAACATTGAGATTGCTTAATCGGACGTGTACCATATTTGACAGCTGATGAGCACTGAAAAGTGCGCATTTAAACCCGTTAAGCTTAAGCATTCTAGTACCTTTATCTATCTTACTTTGCCGTTTTAGACTTATTACGTGTTATTTATATTTTCAGGCACTAATCCCAAAATTGAGCTAACTCAGCCAAATAAGAGCTTAATTGAAGCAATCCTGAGATAAACCAAAGGAGGGAGCAAAGTGGAGAAAGAAAGGAGCAAAAAGGAATCAAAGTTGTGCAGCTGAAAAGTTTGATCGATCGAACATCTATGATCGATCACAGTACTTCTCGATAGATCCAACCTTGGCCTTTGCTGAAATTCCAAGTTCGATCGATCCAACATCACCTTCGATCGATCGAACCCTATTTTGTCCTATTCAAATGATTGATCTTATCCACAGCTGTACGCCTACCAACCACTTTTGTCCTTTTCCCCATAAATATCTTCGAAATATCTCAGCCTTGTCCTTATCCGGAGGAGTCAGGCCACTTTGATCGATCCAAGATGCAGTTCGATCGATCGAACCCATCTTCGATCGATCCAAGTTAAGGTTCGATCGATCGAACTTCCTCCAGTGAGAAAAAGTTAAAGTCCAGCTCATTCATTCCGTTCTTCACCCAATCATTGGAGAATATGCCTTGCACGACCACAGCTCATCATAGGGTGTATTTGACTTACCTATATAAGGAATATGATACACTTTTTGGAGAGGAGTCTAGAGTCTCTTGTCACACATTGAAAATCATCTCGGAGGCTATTCTTGGAGAGGAAGAAGGGAGGAAGCTAGAGCACCATTGGAGGAGATCTTCACCAACAAGGAGCAGCCATGGAGTTAGCCCTTGAGGGTTGGATCATCAATACCATGAGTGTCTAGACATCCTCTTGGGGCTAGAGTTAGCCCCAAGCATGCTTTCTATACTCTAATCTTGTGTATTATTGAGGGATTAGTGTTGTATGATACATCTTGATATTCATGTATATATAAATCTTGATTATTTCATGGTTTGTATGGTTTAATGCTTCCAATTGACTATTCTATGCTACCCATATGTCTATGTATGCTAAAGTAGGATATTCATGTGCTTATCTCTAGATTTAGTGTTTTTGATGCATGTCTATGTGTATTGATGCTATAGATCTAGAGATTATCAAGATGATGTGCTTAATGAATGCTATTTTGGTTCATTTGATGGTTTATGTCTATTCTTGATGGCTTATGCCTCTCCCCTAGTCTAGATAGCTTTATTTTCATGCTAGTAGTGTAGATTTAGTGTAGTGGTAGTATAATGTTAGATGGGAGGATAATCTACTCTTGATGTTTGATGTTCCATGCTTGTGAGTCCAAATTGCATATTCCTCTAATATTGTGTTGCAAGTGGATTGTGAGCTTAATGAAGGATTAATGACTAGTTATGATATGTTGTATCTTTCACATGTGTTTAGACAATTTATTCCTCTCCCAATAGATAAATTGTGGCCTCTCACATGATGTTTAGATAATGCATGTTTAACTAAGTCATCCTTATGGATTGCTTGGACTATGAGCTTAATGAAAGGTTCAATGACTTGATTTGATATTTTGTTCTCTTCACATGATGTCTAGACAATATATTCCTCTACCAATAGATGTATTGTGGCCTCACACATGTTGATTGAGACAATTTGCACTTGTTGAGTCACCCTTACCAATTGAATGTCTTTTACACACACAACATTGTTGCAACACATTCATTTCCCTCATTAGTCACTTGATTATGGTTTGGAATAGTATTGTTTGGTGGTGATCTCTACACCCCAAGACCTTTCCTTCTTACTTACTCTTTATCTTAATGCATTTTAATTAATTCTTTTCTAGAAGTAATCAACCAACCCAATTCTCTTTTGCAATCATTTGGTACGCTAGATTCGAAGTTGAAATTCCAACACGTATAATCCCTTGGGACGATCCCTATTCACTCTTGCTACGTTAGTAGTAGTGTTGGTAGTGGTTTTTATAAATTTAAATTTGACATAAAAGGCTTTTCTTGAACCACACATTCACTACATTCAGTTTGGCGTATTGGAACGGCCGTCGTCAACAGCAAGATTATGTATTTCAATTTTAGGGTCAAGACCGGGCATCTCTTTGTATGTCCAAGCAAAGACATCCTTGTACTCAGACAATAATTGAAAGTAATCATGTTCTTTTAAGGGGTTTAGGAATGCACTAACGAAAACTGGTTTGGGTTGATCATCAGTCCCTAAGTTAATTTTCTTAAGTTGATCAACGGTAGCTTGTCCCCCGTCTTCTAGTGTTGGTGGTGCTTTCTCAATTTCATCTGGTTGTTCAGAGTCAGGTTCCTCTTCAATAGTGATGTGGTATGAAGTAACACAAGATGATTCACCAGTGTTTTATGTTCTATTCAGTTCTTCTGTTTGATTAGTGAATACAATGGTTTGCCTTTGAGCTTTTAGTGTAACATCATTGGTGACATCTATCTCTGTCTTACGTTTCATTCGCGAAGGCACCAGGCTCCAAATTTCACTATTGTTTACCACGTCGATGTTAGCTTTCTCTAACTTTCCAATCTTGCTGATTCTTAGCGGTGCATCATTAATAGTACCAATTCGAGAAAATGCTGACTTTCGAGATTGAGGTTGTGGAGATTTTCTTCCTTGGTCATGAAAGCTCATTTTGTTAAAAACAGAGGTACGAGGCAAACTGCTGACATGAGAATTTGAAACATTTGACCTTTGGCTTGACAACCTGTTGAATATAGATGTTCGATCACATGGAGCTCCTATACGGTCGAACACTGATTTTTGATGCATAGTCTGTTGGTCATGTTCATCCTTAACTTCTTCAAACCCAATGTAAAAAGTGTTTGACTTCTTATCATTTTTTGTGATTTGAATTCGAAGTGGCTCAGAAGTTACGAAACCGAGACCAGACTTGGGTGGAATGATCTTATGCCCTTGTTCTTTCAACTTCTTCTGTGTCTCATTGAGGCCATGTATTTTCTCACCGGTGACCTTAGAATTCAGTTTTCCAAGGCTTACTGGATTTGTAAAATCATACCCCGACGTAGCCAAGAGTTGGTATGCTTTAAGATCAAATCCTTCATCAGTCTTTTGTTTTGGAAGTGATCCATAATCGACCAGAGATTGAGAAGGCCACACGAACCCTTTTAACGAAGGCTTGGAAGGTGAAGACTTTTGAATCTTGGTGAGAGGAAGAGTTAACTCTCCTTGCAGCTTTGCATATCTTTTTTTTCCTTGGTTTGTGACATTTTCACTTTAAATTCCTTGGTCTCAAGTATCTTGATGACAGGTGATTGCCCTTTTTGTTGTTAAGATTTTGGAACATACTTTAAAATAGGTTTCATCCGATGTGCTTTTATCGAGACCCCTCGCGTTTTAGCTACCTTTACAGTGTTTGTCATTGATACATCTAATGGATCACTTAATACTTTTTTTTTTTTTTGTTTTTGTAGATTGAACCTTTTGTGTAGACGGATGGCTTGGGATGGCACTTCCGAAGGTGTATCGGGATCGATATAGAACTTGGCATCGGCAAAATGGGACTTTGTTTTTGTAAATGGTTTATGGTCCGCCACAACCGTTTATATGCCATTCTTATTGCATTTGAAGCACTGATGAAGAGTCAATGGAATGATGCCATTACTATGTATCCAAGGCCTTCCCAACAACAAATTGTAGGACGTCATTGCATTAATAACATGGAATAAGGTTTTAGCTTGGAGCTCGCTAATAGTTAGCTTCGCCCGAATCATACCAATAGCTTTCTGTTCTCCTTGGTTAAAACCTTGAATAATAAGACGGCTACGAGATAACTTATCGACTGTGATGCCGAGATTTTTCACCATAAATTTTGGCATGAGATTCACCACTGATCCACCATCAACAAGAATTTGAGTAACTTTTTATTCTTTTATGTAACCAGAAACGAAGAGAGGACAATTATGCGGCTTCGAACCCAACTGAAGATCCTCGTCAGTGAAAACAATTGGTGCATAACATGAATCAAGCGTACCTCCGACTACTTCCTCATCATCAGAATTTTCAATGATGGTTGCATCCTTTGTATGGTTCTCTATAGTCTGGGCTTCATCTTGATCCTCGCTATTCTCATCATTAGGGCTCGTTTTCTCAGTTGAAACCATGTAAGCTGTCACAACTTCGTCATCTAGATATCCTTCTGGAAAGAATTCTTATAAAGTAATGGGCTTCTGGATCCCTTTGTTCATAGAGGCGTGTTTGGATGACTGTATCTTCTTGACCCATTTTCTATTATGGCTATACTATCTATGGTGGTATTGAGGTTTCTTCTTCCTTTATCCCCTGTCAGAATAACTAGTCTGAAAAATGTCAGCTCATTGCTTCCGTGGTTTCTTTCTTGTCACCAGAGTCCATCCTTTTTTATCATCTTGAGGAAGAACTCTTCCAAATATTGAAACATCAAGTACACTTCATTGGCCAAGATAGATGGGGATTGGTTCGAATGAGCCAAACTAGATGATTTTGTAATATACCTCAAAATTTAAAGGTTGAGAATGAGCATTCCCTACGACAGAGGTTGTCAAAGTAGTAGTAGTATGATTTAAAGTTACGATTTCATTTGTGTCCAACAAGATTTTTCCTTGTTTTGCCAGATTCATCACCACCTCCTTGAAGATAAAACACTTCTCATATTGGATGACTGATAATACGATGATATTTGCAGTATTTCGGGTTGTTAACATGTCCGATCTTTTGAGGGTGTTTGCATTCAGGGAGTTCTATAACTTTACTTTCGAGTAAACATTCCAATATGCCAGGGACATCAGAATCGAGGAAGGGGTATTCCTTCCTCTCTAACTCCTTTAGCATAGGATGTTGTCTTTCCCTCTCTTAAAACTGGTAAGGCTTTTTATCATCCTTCTTATCATCTTTAACAGATTTCTTAATTGGGGTAGTTGAGATAGCCATGGAATCTTTAGCAGCGGTTTTTGACGACTTGTCACCCTTCTTCCAGTCCTTTTTGTCTTTGCGTGGTTCAATGGTCACCAGACCTTTGTTGTCATAGAATTTTATACTGATCTCCATGTCATAGGCACGCGTAGCCAATTCTTCAAATGTGCGAGAATGTAAAGAAGGCCCCAATGCTTTCCCTACATACACATTTCCACAGCAGAGATCTCTAACAATCGGTCTTTGCAGTCAAGACTGAGTGCTCGCCACCGATTAATGCAATTGATTACAGGCTCATCTTTCCATTGCTTCGTGCTAGTCAATTCTATCATACTAACAGTACGACGAGTGCTATAGAATCTGTTCAAGAATTCTCGTTCCATTTGGTCCCAACTATCAATTGATTTTGACTTTAGGTCGATGTACCACTTGAACGTGTTTCCTTTAAGGGAGCGGATAAACTGTTTTACTAGTAAGTCCCCCTCAGTTCTGGCATTGTTGCAAGTCTCGATAAAATAGGCAATATGTTGTTTGGGGTTTCCTTTTTCGTCAAATTGCTGAATCTTCGGAGGTTGGTATCCTATATGCATCCTTATACTGTCGATTCTCCTTGTATAGTGCTTTGAGTACATGAGAGTGCTCTATGAGACGCTTCTGTATTGGGCTCAAATTGTATTCATTATCATATCTTGCAATTGTTTGACAGATAATGAAGAGACTAAAGAAGCATGATTGGTTTGACCAACCGCCTGTTCTATTACTGGCATTTGTCTGGTGTCCTCCGTGCGAGTACCTTGTGCTGTAGAATTAAGATTCCCAGACGGTGGTGGTGTGGAAGTTGCAAGATTCCTAGATGGTGGTGGTATAGAAGTTGCAAGATTCTCAGATGGCATTGCTGTGGAAGATGTAGGATTCTTAGACGGCACTGCTATGGAAGCTGTAGGATTCCCAGACTATACTGGTGATTCACCAAAAGTCTAAACTTCCAATTTGTTCATTAGTGTAACGATCTGCAAGTCTTTTTCTTCAACAGTCTTTGTGAGGTTCTTAATAGAACGAGCCATAATTGCTAGTTGTTCCTCTACCATGGCGGCTCCAGTCATCATAACAGCGACCACATCTGAGTATGATAGGCCTTGAGAGTCAACATTTCTTGAAGTGATTGATTGCTCCGAAGTCTGACGTGGTGACTCTGGGGGTGAATCGACACTAGAGTGAGAATCATAGACAGAATGAGGTAAATCTGGTGGTGGAATCTCCTCTGGAACAACGTCAGGGTTCTTGACATGTTGAGTTTTCATGTTTGTCGGCTTTGTAGGATTGGTTTTCACCAAGTCTTACTGATGTTTGGATGATGCGATTGCCTGGGACTTGCTACGTGTCACAGGGCCCGCCAAAGTACTTCCATCACTTGATTTGGCCTTTGTGCCACTTTTCATGATGGTTTTGGTGGGCCCTGTGACACGTAGTAAGTCCCACCGGGTGTGCCAAAAATTTGTATACACAAATTTTGTAATCTGCAAATAAGAACAAAATATGGAGCAAAAATAATATTTTATTGAATTGAGAAAATTGGAGTACAATCCTCTGTAATAATATTCTTTACAAAGAATAAGGTCCTCTGATTCGATCTCCTTTTTGTTAGTTGGATCTAAGGGCTGCATGAGCTTGATCTTGAATCACCGTGGAATTTGGATGAAAAACGACACGATTTGATGTTCTTGTTGTTGATTACCGTAAAATTTGATGAAGAACAGCACGATTTGATGTGCTTGGTGTTCTTCGCTTTTGGGTTTGGATGTTGGGGATGAGTATTGGCAGAGTTTCTGTATTTCTCTCTGCAATTCTCTGGAATTCTGAATTCTAAATTTGTGTCTTTATTCTTCCTCCAGGACTCTATTTATAGGCTTCTTGGATCCATAGGTGATGACATGTGTCCTCTCTTGATAAGGATAAAATCATAACTGGGCCGGGCTAGTTATATTATGATAAGTATCCTTAAAAATAATTATTCCAAATATATTTTATTAGGAATAATTATCTTTCCATTTAATCATTTAGGCTGGGTTAATTAAATAATTTAAGTGGACCAAGCTTGGCCAATTAAATAACTTAATTAAACATTAAATTATATTTAATAGGTTAATTTGTCAAAACAAAAGTCCATTAAAATTTTAGTGTCTACAAATGAGAAATGCCAAGATCGCTTAATAAGTATTTTAACCACTAAAGTTCACATGTTAAAGTAGTCATAACACAGTATTCAACTTCAGTACTAGAACGAGAAACCATAGCTTGTTTCTTGATTTTCTAAGAAATGAAGTTAAAACCAAGAAAAAGTGCAATACTTAGTGGCCGACTATCGGTGCAACGGGCGCAATAAATTTCGACCAGCATGAAAAAAAAAAAAAAAAGTATTGAAATTGGTTTAATGTAGTAGTTTTATTATTTAGGCCTGTCATTTGTTCAAGATATCATTATTCATTATCTATATTACTCCTTATATAGTATGAATTATCCATCTTTCCCTTTTAAGCTTTTCCAAATTACTTGTTCAAGTTAAAAAGTCAAAGTAAAATAAAAATATCTTTTCATAAATACCCTTGAAGTTTTTTTAAAAAATTCAATTTTACCAATATGTCAGTGGTTTAGCGGTACCAGGCTCCTACTTTCGAAAGGGGGTCAGGGGTCGAGCCTCAGTGGAGGCATGCGTGTGTGAGTATCAACTAAGAAAAAAAAAATCAACTTTATTATGTATATATGTTCAAACTCTTGCATTACGAGTTGTCAATTATATCCTTAACGGATAACTTGATAATTTCAAAATTGGACAATACATTAATCCCATGGAGTAGATATTGCATGTATGCACTTCGTTAGTGTACGCACCTAATAAAATATTACATATTATCTCATTAGTGAAGCCACCAAATGAAATATACTAGTAAAATATTATTTCAAAATAATATGAAATATTTTATTAGGTGGGTACACTAATGACATATCGTGCCTGGAGTATCCAATATCTACTCAATTCCATAACCCCTTAAAAAGTTCCTTTCCTTAAATGGGGCCACTAATATGGGACAAATATAGTATATATTATATGGGGTTATAATTTGGATTTATTATTATTATTATTATTATTTTATCTACAAGAGGGAGAAAAGATGGGTGAGTTGAACCTAGGTTATCGAATTGTAATTTTTACCACACGACTTAAAAGAGTTTCTACTAACTCGGCTACCTAATTCCTCCGTAAAATTTTATTTTTTTGCTAGTCTCAATTAGGGTTGACAAAAATCCCCACTTTAACGGGCCCTGCCCCATTTGGGGATGGTTTTGGAAAACCGATTATGTAAATAGAGATGAGGATGAGGTTGCTTTGAAAAACTCGGCGGGTTTTGGGGCGGTTTTGGGGGAGGGTTATCACTCCCCACCCGACCCGACCCTACCCGTATATACTATAAATTTATTAAATTATCCTTACATATTATAATTTATTACTAAAATAGGTTAAGTTTATGTATACGCACATTAAGAAATCCTACCCCTCATTTTGTTTCATGTCTTAAGTCATGTGAAAAAAGAGAGTCACGAATAGGTATGACAAAATAGAGATGGGAATGTAAGCTGCTTTGAAAAAACCTGGCGAATTTTAGGGGTGATTATAATGATAAAAAAATTAAACGGGGTTGAGAATGAGAAATAAGATCCCATTGCCATCCCCACCTCATTTCGTTTCATGTCTTAAGTTATGTGAAAAAAAAGAGTCACAAACAGGGATGACAAAATAGAGATAGGAATGTAAGCTGCTTTGAAAAACCCGACGAATTTTAAGGGCGATTATAATGATGAAAAAATTAAACGGGGATCCCCCCTGAGACCTACCTTCTATGACTCATCTTCAAGATCATATTATGATATATTGGAAAAACCCCTATATCGGATGTTTCCCAACTAATCAACAAGAAACATATATTAGATGTTTCCTAATTAATCACCCCCTGTAATGACCTGGTCATTTTCCTTCCTTTTTTTTTCGGTAAATTCTTTTTTTTTTTTTTTTTTTTTTTTTTTTTTTTTTTTTGTCTTTTCCTTATTTCGTCTTTTTCCCATTTATCGTTTTCCTTGCATAACCTCACTTTTTGTGCTCGGATTTGATTTCGGCTTTGCATGCATCCATGATATTTGATTTCTATGATAATTGTAT